CAGGTATTAGGATATGACTGAACCTGTGCCTATGAGGGGATTGACGTTCAAACCCAACACTTTGATCTCGCATAGCATGGCTCGCCATAAGCTTTTGTAATAGCGTGGACGTCCTCGGACTTCGCGACTCCATGACTTCAGGTGTGTAGAAAGGGATGAGCGATCCGCTCGTCGTTCTGACCCATTGATTGGAATCCCTTCTGGCTGTGCGAAGTTTTTCCTTCGATTGCATCCAGAGGGCGACGATCTACTCTGACTGCGACACCATAGCTTCAAATGTGGTGAGATATGAGCGGTCCGGCCGTCGTTCTGGCCCACTGGCTGAAAATCGTTCTGGCTCACTGGTTCAAAATTGTCCTGGCTGCATGAAATCTTTGCTTCGATTGCGCCCAAAAAGAGACGATTCATTTCGTTGTGGGCGCTCCTGATGGGAGTGGCCCTTTGCACCATGATACAAGCGCGACTTTGGTACATTTCCGGTGCTGCGGTCTCGTCGCGCGGTGCCGTATCTGTATATTCTGCTGTCCAAAACCTCCGTGCTGCATGGGATCACGCGTTCGTTCTAATCTTAACACAACCTCGCGCACTTTCTCGAAGATATGGCCTTCAGGAGCGTCCAGAGCTGTGAGCATGTGATACGAGTCTGTCCAGAGCGCAAGACACTCGTGAAGTTTGCTTCTCATTTGGACTAGACATTGCCTTGGTGCCATTCGATTGGCCATGTTCTAGAGTCTACAGAAGAAGTCGAAGACTGATTCCAGTTCGTCTTCAAGATCTTCCATTCGGATTCTGCCTTGAGTCCTTCGCATTTCTCTGCTTTCCGCAGTTCCTTCACGATTCCGCTGAACGAAAGACGACGGCCTTCTTCGAGCAAGTTCCTGATGTGGGACTGTGCCGACCCTGTCAAGTGGTCATGAAGCATGTCCCTTCTGTCGTCATGATCCATATTGTAGCCAGTTACTTCACATCTAGGGCCCTAGCGAAACTGTGAGAGATCCTTTCCCGTCATAATTCTTCACCGCTTCAAGCGATTGTACTTGAAGGCCTCCTTAAATGCAGTTACGAGCGAATCGGTGGAACTTAAGCTCTGTGGCAACTGCACCCCTCTTGCTGACTACTGCTTCGTATGTCACATGGTGACTGGACTTGACAGCAGTGGTAGCGTGACTGCGAGTTCCTGGTGGATTGCTCGCTCGAGGTCACATGGCGGCTCGAAGTATGCCCATCCTGTTTGACTGGCTGTGCTGCGAGTCCGGAAAGAAGCGCACGATGAAGCTGCGAACCGCAGCTGTGGGCAGGGTTTGTTGGACGGCTTGCCTTCTGCCGTATTGCGCTTTTTCACATGCTGCAGCGAGGAAGGCGGACTTGCAGACCGCCAACGTAGGCAAGCTTCATCGAACGGCCCACGTTTAATTGACGTGCCCACTTCAATCCCCTTTTGCGAAGGATGATTATGGCTCCTAAGAAGCACTTGGGATTCGAGCCATTCAATCTCTCTATATTCGAGCTGCATCAGTGGTAGGACTCTAGCGCTGGTACAACTGAGCGCTTCTGTGACGTGATCCCTTGCAGCAGCTTTTTCCACTATTCGTGGCAAGTCACCTAGTAACTGGCGAAGGGAGATACCCACACTATCTGCCAGAAGACTCGCCTTTGAAGCATTTTTGAACCTTGATTCGACGGCTGCGATAGCTGCGTCGGTTGTGCTGCGAATCGCAGACACGACATTATGCCCCTTACTAATAGTAAGTTTTCGGTTAGCGCCAAGCTCCTGATCCAATGGTAACGACTTCAGGAGACTTTTCCACCAGCGAACCTCTTGCGCGGTCTGTTCAACAGCTTCCTGCACTTCCATTGACACCTCTGTACCTTGGTCGCCAGTCATATCTGCAATATCGACGTTTTGTGGTGGCTTGGCCTCCATGTCAGGTCCTTGCCGCTCTGTAGGGTCCACCTCGACTTTTGAAGTGGACGCTGTGGGCACTGAGGAATGGTGGCGGAACGGTGACTGGTGGCTGACATAATAAAGTTTCGAAAACCCCAAAGACAAGACGATAAATGCAAGATATTCAAGGGTTTGAACCATTAGTCGTCGCGATCACAAGGTTCGATACAATATCTATTATATACACGCACGTACAACAAATACACACGTGGGCTGTAAGTTCTGCGGCTCCAACAGGCGGTTGAGCCCGAATGTAAGCTATAGCGGCCAGACGTGAAATACCTAGCCTACGAGCCGACCCCTCGACTAGGCTAGGTGCGCCACGTCTAGCCTCCATAGCTTACCAAAAGCTATACACCGTCTTGCTGGTGGTAGAAGTAGCAGTAGTAAGCGGCCCCGGCCTGAGGATTCACCTCCTATCCCCTGAAGACAGTTTACCAACTGCGCTCCGCGACGGCCTTCTTGCGCTTATATAGCACCCATTGGACGCGGAGTGTTTTGACTGGTCACTGAAAGATCTTCCCACGCTCAGAAGCTCCTCCGCCATGCCGCAGCCGATCAATACAGGCATCATCGACTACCAAAGTCGACCATGCATCGATCGACATCAAGGGTTGAGCAATATAAAACACAAAAACATGTATGCATTGTGCAACAGGACTAGGGAATACGGAGACCTATATGGGTGTCTGACATGCTCCACTCAAATGTAGTCCACAGCTAGACCTGTAGGTGTGTGGGTAACGTGCAATATTAAGCATGCCTTTGAAACTACAGCTACCGATCCTCCGACTAGGACGATCAAAAAAAGTTTTACTTGTATGCGGTATATATTTTGCAGAGCAAATGCAAACAGCGAAAGAATCCTCTGAGCGCAAGCAGTTGGCTCCACAAGAAGAAGGTGATCCTCCTATTCATTATAGTGAAGTAGTTACGTCAGTTCCACACTGTTTGCCCATGTTGAAGCCATACAGCTCTAATGGAAGGGACGTCTAATGTAATGTCGTTGGAAACAACCTCCAGGGAAGTGGTTGTGAACCGAAGCACACAAAGACAAAACCGAGATTCCCGCCCATTCAAATGTAGACCACATCTAGGCCTATAGGTTCGTGGGTCAACGAACGGAATCATTAAGTATGCTTTCAAAACTACAGCTGTCTGTCCTGACGACCAGGTGTATCGAGAGACCGACTTCTCTATCACTTGATACGACTTTACAACCAAAAACAGCAAAACAAATTTCAGAATCAGTAAACAGTTAGTTCCACGAGAAGAAATTATTCACCGTTCATACACGCTTCCTTTTAGTGAAGTAGATTATGTAAACTCCACAATGAGTCCTAGTGTTGAAGGCACCTTTAATTCTAATTGAATGTACCTTCCAAAGGTAGCAATAAAAACTAGCATCGGTAAAACGCAGAGATTAAATTAGTGCTAAACTGATGCTTAATTCGACCATCCCCAAATTGGGTTTTGGTACTGCATAAGCGAGCGTTTGTGAAGTGCTGCGGTGTGCCAGAATAGGTTGCTATAGTAGACACGAGCTAGCAAATTCTTAAATCAACTGAGTAAGGATACAGAACCTTTGCTCCGTTGTAATTGCCTGATATGCCTAATACACTCGTATGGATCATAAGACACCCAACTGAAACGAAAATAATCAGTCTGTTGGATGGTAAAGCCACGCATCACAGAGAGCATGTGTTCATGGAGCGGCATACATATATGCTATGCTGCTACCAGCGAAAAGAAAGTGACTCAAGTAAAAAAAGAAAACGATAAAAGACAGACTGCTTCTCTCATTTTCCCTACCCATCACTTCCCACTTTTGCAACGGCAGAATATACAGGGGGGG